AGACAGACAGACAGACAGACAGACAGACAGACAGCCAGACAGCCAGCCAGCCAGCCAGCCAGCCAGCCAGCCAGCCAGCCAGCCAGCCAGCCAGCCAGCCAGCCAGCCAGCCAGCCAGCCAGACAGCCAGACAGCCAGACAGCCAGACAGCCAGACAGACAGACAGACAGACAGACAGACAGGCAGACAAATGGATAAAGATAAAGGCGCTTCAGTTTTAGGTCTTAGGAGCTTGGAACTTCTTGGAAGGGCTGCGTTTACTTGTGTTTGCAGTGGGCCTTATTGGAGGCTGGGACTTGAGGCTGCACTGTGGTTCAGTCCCATGGGTTTGAAGACTCAGTGTTTGGGTTTGGGCTCTGGGGCCTTAGGACTCACGAAGGACTTTCGAAGGGCTTGTACTGCAATGCGACACTGCTGCTGCATGTGCCAAATCAGCGTGATCCTCTCATCGCATCCCCGCTCCCCAAGCGTCCCAACAGAGAAACTAGATTTCTGAAGGCTCAACCCTTGATCTATGAGAGATCCTGAAACCAGGTCTACCAAACAACCCGGTGAGTGCTCCCACGTGCCCAAATCCGCAAAACGAGCTTCCGGCTGGACCCGGGATGCCTGTCCGAGGTCGCACGACTACGTCCAACCTGGGGCTCTGTGAAGGCTTCTGTTCAGGAGTTCACAAGCACCTTAGACACTTTGGTCTCAGAAGGGTTGGGACAGTGCATCAAAAGTAGGCAACTTTTCAAGTCATGTAACCCCACGCCAATCTTAAGTAAATGTCCTAATTGGCCCTTGAACGGCCAGGGTGCTTTCATTTTTTTGTTCTGCGGCCTTTCTGCTCCTGGCCGCTGCCACTGGGTTCTAAAATATTTTTTGCTCTCTGGCCGCTGGGCCAGTGGTGTTTTTTTTCTGTGTGGCCGCTCTGGCCGGCTGCGGAACAAAGAAAACACCTTTTCCCCTGCCCACGGTGTTTTATTTCTTGCTGCTGGCCGCTCCGCAGCCGGCGACCCGGGCCGGGGTGGTGTTTTTTTTGTTTGCTCCGCGGCCGCCCCGCACGCTCACTCACTCACGGCCGCGGGGCCGTAAGCCTGCTGGGGGTGGTGCCTTTTTTTGGCTCCGTGCACGGCCCAGGGTGCTTTTTTTTACTCCGCTGCCGCTCCGTAGCCGGCCAGCAACAAAAAACGGATGGTGGACAGCATCAGGTCTAAAAAAGGCAAGCGGCCACAGAACAAAAAAAAACACTTCCGCCCTTGAACACCTAGCTATATCTATATTTATATATGTACATATATACGAGACGCGCACTGAAGACTGGCTCGCTAAAGGTTCCGTAGTCTTGCGGTGAGCATGTCTTTCCACTACAGAGCGCATATCAATGTGCGACTTGCCAAGCCTTGAACCTGAACTCGTCCCCGAAAACCTCGTAAACCTTTGTAACACCCGATTAACCTTGAAAAACCGTAAACCAAACCCCCATAAACGCCCTGAACACCCTCCCATCCTTTAAAAACCTAAACCCGATCCTTGCAACTCTGAAGCCTCCCTAAACCCTAAACCCCAGGTGCCAGGCGTCGCTCTGTCAAAGACCTCGCGCGCGCGGCTGCGCGGCTCTCGCGGTCCGAAGACCTTGGATTTGTTTAGGGTTTAGGGGTTTGGGGTGCAGGGTTTAGGGTTTATGATTTCGGGTTCAGGGTTTATTTGCTGTAGGGTCCAGGCTAGGGGTCTAGGTTTGAAGGTGTGAAGTTGTTTAGTTTATGGGTTTAGAGTGCATAAACCTTCGAGTCGGTGTTATGAGGGCGACCTTATCAAATTCGCTTTTAATTTGTAATCCTTAAATTTATGACGGTTGTATACTGTAGTGTAGAATTAAGAAGGTGCGATAGGGCTGTATAGCTTTTTTGACGATGGTTGCATAAGGCTGTATGCCGGTGTCAACAACAAGTTTTCTGCAACTTCACAAGCTTCTTCAGGGCGTCATTAGGGATTTGCACTGTTTTGCAGGGGTTTTGAAGGATTCAGGGATGAGAGTTTTGAGGTTCACGTTTAGGGCCTAGTTTAGTTTAGGATTTCGAAACACCGGGAATTTTGGGCTTGGGTGATTGGGACTTGTGGTGTGCTGAAGGCCATGTCGGTTTCAGGGATTTCGGATGGCTTCTGCTTTGGTGCATACGCTGATCGATTCAGATCCAGTGCATAGCGCCACAACACTAAACTCTCGAATGCCTACACCCTCGGTCCCCTAAGCCCCAAGCAGCTAAGTATCAGGAGAAAGCGGGTTGTGAGCGGAGCTGGGACCAGAGAGCCCAAATGCGCCAAGCCTCGACCCCAGCCCTTACGCCCTGATACGGCCTAAGCCCCAAACCCTAAACCCCAAACCGAAACCTTAAACCCGAAACGCTAAACTCTAAACCCGAAGCCCTAAACCCGAAACCCTGATCCCAACACCTTAAACCCTAAACCCTAAACCCGAAACCCTGATCCACAAACCCTAAGCCCTAAATGCCTTGGGCTCCCGGCGGCGGCCAGCACCGAGCTGTTGCCAAACTTGAACCGGGCCGAACCATCCTGGCCACGAGTAGATCTTCCTGTTGAGGATCATGGGTTTAGGGCTTGAGGTTTAAGGATCATGGGTTTGCACTAAAGGCCCCTTGTAGGGTTTAGGCTGGGGTTTCGGCTTTTTTTCAAGAGCATGGGGCTTGCAAGAAAGTCGCAACATAGAAGCCTAAATATTTACTGGCATTATTCCTTAGGTTCCTTGTTACACAATAATAATAACTATTCGTATATAAAAAAGCCCAAAACCCTATTCCAACTATTAAGGCCCCTACCTTATGTAATTGGAGTCACCGAAATTGCGGCTGGCCCTGCCCAAAACAAGCTGTAAGACCGGCTACTAGTCCGGCTACTGATCGTATTCGGGCTAAGTTGAAGGAGGCTGTCGTTGGGATGTTCGGAGGCCAAAATCCGAAGCCCAGGACTTCTTACCCAACCCTAAATGCCCCTGCAGCCGCGAGAAAACGACCTTTCACCGCACTGTCAAAAACCAGAAACCCCCTGTTCAATCCTTCCAACCTCCACTCTCACAGCCAGTCCAATGCGTGTCGGAGGTCACCGCACGCAGAAGCGGTCGCAGTTCGACGTGCGGAGGACGGAGTTGGTTGGGCCTGGTTTGGGGTTTAGGGTTCCAGGCTCTGGGTCAGGGTTTCGGTGATTCAGACTTTAGGGTTTAGGGCCCAGCCTTGAAGTCAACAAGCCACCTTTCTTCAAGGGCACCGGCGGCAGTGGTAGCCTAGTTTGGAATACTGTTACAAAAGGCCATAATAACTAGCATAGGGTTTTGCGCAGTACATCCAGTGTAATTACACCGGCTAGAAGGGCATGCTGCGGTACAGTAAATGAGTCCGACCTCGACATTACTGCCCCTGTCAACGTGAACTCGAGGCTATGTGGGGTTCGTTTCTGGTTTTGAGGAAGGCCCTGAGGCCAAAAGGCTTTGACTTGATGCGTGGAGTGACTGAACTTCAGAGCCCAGGTTCTTTAATGTATCTTTTGTTATTAATTAATTTGGTAGTCTAAGTATATAGTCATTTGTTCTTATATGAACTTGTGTGTATATATATATATATATACATACATACACATGTATGATATATGGTATGTGATATATGATATATATATATATATATAAAGAGTATATATATATATAGAATATATATATATACACATGTTTCGATTGAATAAGTAGGCTATGTCGGGTTTCAAGTAGTAGCTGCAAACGCAAACTTCTACGGAAAAAGATTCGAAGTGGAAACCAAAAGAGGGCACTGTGTTGGAGAGTCAACATGTGCAGGCCTGAACAATTGGCAACATCAAGCCTGACAGTTTCCTTCTATACTTGGCAGTATAAATATAAAGCCACCGTAAACCCTGGTCTAGCTGTTCAAGCACGTGCAGCCGTGAGTCTTGCTCATGGTCAGCCCTCTGCGTTCTGGGGCATTGCGACACAACCGGCCTACTAAGAATCTACAGTACTGCGAAGCAGGGAGTCTTCGCCGAAACAGGCCTACGCCCCAACACCCAACGTTCTGAAGGCCTCAAGCCGTAAACCCGGAAAGCCTTGGCCACCGAAGCCCGAAAGCCTAACACCCGCAAGCCCAATCTTCATGGTTCCGAGTTTGAGTGCCAGGCGCGCGCCCGTCCAAACGAGGAGCCATCGTCGTAGGCTGTCTTTGTAAGCTTGAGCGTTTGTTGGTTGCCTTAATTGGGGATCCTGTCGGCACTTCTTTCTCCAAAACCTAAGCCCCCAAAACTCGAAACTCCGTGATCTCCCAACCTACGCAGTGGGGGTTGGGGGCTTTCGAGGCGATTACCCTGAACCCTAAACCCTCCACTGGTATCGCGAAATTATGATAAAGAGACGGTTGAGGGATTCGGGGGTTAAGGTGTTTAGGGCTCTAAGATCTACCGCACTTCTAAAAGCCAGGGGTTTAGGGAATTTCAGGACTCAGGATTTGGGGCTAAAGGACATATGTCCAGCCCTAAACTCTACAACAAGCGTCTAGGGCATGAGGACACTGAGCCTTCAACTTCATGGCGGCTTCTGCCAGCCCTAACTCCTGGACAAAAGAAACCGAATTCGGGGATGCTACTTTTCCTGGAAGCCACCCTGTGCTGGGCTTGAGCTGCAGATGCCACGGCTCCGGTCATTAGCCTGAAGAGGACAGTGCTGTAGATTTACGGCTATTGTTTAAGGCTTACAGGCTTTAGGTCTAGGGTTTCTGCAACTTCTTGAAACAAGGCTTTCTCGTCGGCCTGTAGCACGAGAAAGCTGCACACATCCAAAGCACACCAAAACTCTAAATTCAAATCCTAAAGACCCAAATCCCCAAACCCTAAACTCTAAACCGAACATGGATACTCCGAAGTCCGTTAGTGTAAAGTACGTTCCTCCGGTTCCAAGCTTTGCGGGATTCAGGGTTTGATTAGGGTCATCCGAGCGACTTGGGATTGCAGGGGTTCAGGTTGCACTCCAGGTAAAGCCGACCTATTCCAGGATCGACAGCTCTCTTCCTGGATCATACAGACCTGCAGACATTCAAGCTTACATGTACGTATGCAGATGCTTACCCCCTCCTATGATGGAAAAAGGGATAGGTGCGTTTGGCGTTGATCTTTGAGCTTCGGATTAGGGTCACAAGGATGGTTGCAGTTTCGAGAAAGGACGCACGTACACCACTTGTGACCTTCCTAACGTCCTCGAAGCCATGGCCTCCAACCAGGTTCAGATGTCTCCTGCGTCAATTCTCACAACACTTCACTCGCAGTCAAGCATTCCGCTGCAACTCTGCGAGGCTCATGAGGTTGCTTTCGTCACCTTCGTTGTCCGTAAACTCAACTCCAGGCCAAAACCGGTTCTACATGGGGTTTGGGCGACTTAGAGCTGCACTCCAGTGCAGACCTCCAGACAATGCTCGCACTGAGCAGCACAGCTCTAAGAGGTCCCGGCGTTGAAGATGGCGAAGTAGTCGAAGAAGTAGAGTCAAAATTAAGGTTCACGCGAAGCTTTTCGAGAGAAGCTAAACCACTCACGTCAACTTACTGTAAATTATGTGATATGATCTTCACGGTCCAAAAGACATTAAAATTGCTGCTTGGATTTAAGATGGCAGGTCTGTAGGATTTATAGCTTAGGACAGTTTATGACTATCATGTACTCGGACCCCTGGGGACTGAGGGTGCATCTATAATCCTTTCCCCCTTTTATGAAAACACACCCCCCTAATAATAAAAACAGATTGGGGTGAATCTTCCCGAAATCATCCCTGCCCTGCAAAACCTATTCTGAATTAGGGGAGGGTTTCGAGGTTCCAAATGCCATGAGAGCACAGTAAGAGCAAGAGCAAGAGCTACAGAAAGAGCAGGAGTAAGAGCAGGAGCAAGAGCAAATGCGTGAGAATCAGAAAGAGCAGCAGCAAGAGCAAAGCAAAAACAAAAGCAGGAGTAAGAGCAAGAGCAGGTGTAAGAGACGCAGCAGAAGCAAGCAAGAGCAACAGCCAGCGCGGGAGCAAGAGCCAAAGCAGGAGCAAAAGCACGACTCCTCAAAAGTGGCAGTAGAGAAAACAAACACCCCTAATAATAAAAACACTTTCCGGCCCCCGCCATTTTAATATTAGGGGGAAGGGATTATACGTCCCCTGCACCAAATACAGTAGGAAGCTCGGTCTTGCTGATCAGTGCTTCCGCCGGTTCAGGGCTTCAGCGTTTTGGCGCATAAAGCCCGAACTCCTAAACCTCAAACCCTAAGCGGGCACAGGGTTTGGGTTTGGGGGTGTTCGGCTCCGTCGGATTGGTGAGTGGAAGGGTGCAAGCGGGGCTTCGAATCGGAGGGTTCTGGGCCGGCCTTAAGGAGGGCCATGAGGGTTTCGGGCTCCTGCCTGCATTTTCACAAACTCCGCCCGACACCGGTTTCTGCTGGAGACAGGCAGCTGGGAACAGCGTTGGCTGTTCTGACCCTAAACCCTACACCGATGTGTGTAGAAGAAGTGTAGCTCAGATCCGAGGAGACATACGCTAAAAGTCCAAGAGCCGATTCTTGGTTGTAACAAGATGCAGACTAGGGACAAGCATGCACAAAGCTGACGCCGACGTCGTCACATCCCAGAGTCATGGTGATGGTGATAATCGTGATGGCGAAGAAGATGGCGATGATGATGGCGATGGTGATGGCGATGATGATGGCGATGATGATGATGATCACGATGATGACGGTGATGATGATGATCATCATGATGATGGTGGTGAGGATGATGATGATGATGGTGGTGAGGATGATGATGATGATGCTGATGAAGATGATGATGATGATGATGATGATGATGATGGTGGTGGTGAGGATGATGATGATGATGATGATAGCGATGACGATGATGCCGATGATGACGATTATGATGATGATGGTGGTGGTGACGCTGGTGACTGTGATGACGGTGATGACGGTGATGATGATGATGGTGGTGGTGATGATGATGCTGGTGATGATGAGCTACACCCACCGGGGACCCTGAGATCGCAAGTCACCGTTTAGGTTCTGCACGACACGTTCTGCACATGGTCTCCAGTGTATCTTCACCCCAGTCTTCCACCCCGACTCATGCAGATGTGTTACACGGCCTGTTCGAGCATTAAGCATGAACTGATGAGGGCCATGGCTCAAGTAGAGGATAACCCTGGGCTGCTAAACCTGAAGACTCTGTACCTAACAAGAACCATAATGTAAAAAACACCCTGTCATCATCCACATTCTCACGGCGTGTCCGTTGTTCCAAAAAGCTGCCATGCGGATTGTCTTCCTCAATTTGAGGAAGTTGCAGCGTACCCGTCTCATGCAGGCCGGCCAAATATGTGAGACTTTTCCGAAAACAACCAGACTTCGAGAGAGAAGCTGCGAACCCCATACAGGAATACTCATGGCCTAGAGGGGTAGTATTACTCAATATTCCCGGCCCTACATTACGCTGAATACCCTTCTACAAACGATCACGACAGGCCTCAGCTCCTACTTAACGGAGGAAGCCGGGCTACCACAAGCCACCAGCACTGTCCACGAAGTCGGAATTGAAGGCACTGGCTATCGGACATTCGGTCAACGATAGTGCAAACGGAGAATATCTCAGGTATTGATGACATGAGCCCAATCAGAGCCGCCGCTTGACATTCGTCAGAAAATGGAGAATCCACATATTATCCGGAGGAAGAGTCAGGAGACCTTCTGGGATCAAGGCTTGGAGTGCGAACTGTCATCCACTCTCAACCCTTGGTGGGCCTCAGTGATGTGTAAATCCCTGCACAAAGCTGGCCTGATGCACCGCCCTAGACCCCAAACCCCAAACCCTACCTGGCATCAGTGCCAATTGAGCTAATTGGTAGACTCGTAGACGCGGAGCAAAACTCGGTCGGAGCCCACGAGGAACCGTCTCCAACACTTGTAGGGTTAGTGTTAAGGGTTCCTTCACATTCCACTTTGCCCTCCGAATCTTCCCGCGGTCATGCCGTGGCGCAAAACTTCTCACGCGCACATACGAAAAATGCGTGCGAGTTAAAGTTCAGGTGTCACCACTAGACCCTGAATTGTAGTACCTGCTTTGCTTGTCACAGGTTTCTGCGT